CTCTCTCTCTCTCTCTCTGTCTCTTATCTAATGCTAACATCAGTGGGACATCTCCCCGTCTGTAATGTATTCCCTCTATTGATCACTGTCTTCACTGTAAAGTCAGGTGGGACAGGTTTAATAGGATTGACCTGCAGTCTGCTGTTGGCGACTGCCTGTGTGTGATGTAGACTCTGTGCATATATCACACACTAATTAATTCATCGTTCAACGCTTAATCCTTTTTCATGATAACAGGGAGCAATCACTGGATGAGGACGCTGTCCACGCTGCACAGTTTCCCAGTATGTGGACGCATCACTTGGGATCAAACAACTATTACCACTCATATTTACACTAACGGGCTAATGTTAGCTACGACAGTCCTGGAGAAAGCTGTAGGTGCTAAAGCTGCATCTACCCAAGAATAAACCTGTTGATCTGGGTCAGAACAATAAAATAAATGATTCTTAATCATCAACATGTTAACTTTGATGGCAGCTTCTGCTAATGTTTAATTATATCTGAATTTGTTAATTTACAAAATGCTTATTAACAATAATTAATCACAATCCCTCTTGTTTTTTTTAATTCTACCAACACTAATATAATAAGTGCTTTTATATAATATGTGGCATAATTTGTGTACTTTGTACCAGGATTGTGCCTGTTTTGTGGGAGCCCATCTGTATTAATGTGGCTGTATGTATATATATATATAGAACTCAACTGATTATCTGTCAAATGTATGTCTGCAGCAATCAGCACTTTCTGACTGACTCCATCGTTCACAGCTGACTGGATTTACAGTTCTGAATATATTGTCCACTTTTGGCCTGCAGCGGTGGCAGCAGCGGTGGCAGCGGGGATTCTTTACAGCCCAGCGCTGCTTATGTTGTATACAGTGATCCCTTGCTATAACGCGGTTTACTTTTCACGGTTTCGCTACTTCACGGATTTGCGTCGTGCATTGTGTTCTGCATTCTGATTGGCTAAAAAGTCACTCCGCTTCTTCTCTACCTGTGCGCCAATAACGTTGCGGTTTAATATGTACACGTACGTAAAACAGCTTGCCAAATTGACATTACGTACGTGCAAATTCTCTTGCAATTTCGAGTTTATCAAACCCCATAATGTCGACAAAACGCTCTGGACCGGCAAAAGTACCTGCGGTAGGGACCAAAAGGCAGCGGAAGATGCTGTCTATCGGTGATAAAGTAAAACTATTGGACATGCTAAATGAAGGTAAAAGCTATGCGGCTGTAGGTCGGCATTATGGAATTAATGAATCTTCCGTTCGTTCCATAAAGAAGGAAGAAAAAAACATAAGGAAGACAGCAGTGAAATAAAGCTGAGTCACTATTTGTCCGACTGTACAGGTAATTTGTATTTTTTTCATAATCATTTTTAATTTTCTCCCGTTCACGGTGGGCGGTGCTAATCTCCGCAATTTGAAGCCTTCTGTTCACGTTGATGATTAAAATTATTATTTGACAGTACATTACAGAAGTTATTTGTTGAAACGTTTCTAAAGTACTTTTATTTTACTTTATTTGTGAAACAAATGGTTGAGACTGTAAAATGGTTTGTTCGTTCTTTCTCTTCTTTTTCCGAGTATTTAATTGTAAAAAAATTAAAGATTTCTACTTCACGGATTTTGCCTATCACGGGTTCTTTTTGGAACGTAACCCCCGCGAAAAACAAGGGTTTACTGTATTAGGTTTAAGAGAATTGTTTAAATAACTTTTTTATGTCAGCTGGTAAAAATCACATATTGCTCTTCAGAGTGGAGAAAAGTAGAGGTACTCAGTCAAAGTGGTATCTACACGTACTTATTCGTCTTAGAAGAGAAACCTAGTCTGTGTTAATTATTGACTGGTTACTGATTGTGCTGACTCGTGGGGATTTTTACGCTGACGCCCGTTAGATTCTGTGTCGGTCTATTTGTCACCATCTTATTTCCTTGTAGCAGTTTAAATGGCTTTTTGTAAGAAAACCGTACATTTAGAAAAGTTCATATTGTAACAGTCTTGTTAAAACGAAGCCCTGGATTTGGAAATGAAGAAGTCGCCATCTTGTTTGAGGCCAATGAAGACTTTTCCCGCCATTCCCTATAAATGTATTAAAAAGTCTTATTCCATCATTCTGACATCTGAGTTAAAACGATAAAACTAGTTGATGAGCGGACGAGAACGTCGTCACAGAGCGCTATATGTGGAAGATACAGTTGTTTTTTATGGGAACTTTTTGCCCTTCATTATGGCTCCCAGGCGTAAGTCAAACACCAGTGATGTCCTAGATTCTGATGTTACCATTGTGTTAGCATAGGTGTTTGACATAGGTACATATGGACAGTATGTGAGTTTGGTGAAAATCGACTTGTGTCGCGCTGTAGGAATGGAACTCCAGACCCTGCGTTTACAGTCGGTTTTTAATCTGCTAAAACCTGTCTAACAGTTTCTCCATCAGCACCCAGTGTCAGGTCATGCCTTGCAATCAAAGTTGTTGAAGCGGCACAAACATGTGACCTGACCTCCGCCCCCTTAGGTCTAAAAATATGCTGCAAACTAACTTTAATCCTTGTTTTTTTCTCTTTCTCTTGCATTCGTTTATTTATCACACAGGGCTCACTTTTGCCCTTGGGGTTTGCTCAGTGACTCGCTGGTCCAAATTGAAATTGATCGGAGTGATCCGTTATTGACGAGGCGTGTGTTGTGTCACAGGTGTCATTCTCCAATAGACACATCCAAAGATTGTGCACACCTGAGCGTGGATGGAGAAAGCCTACAGTGTGTCATATGTTCCAGGTCATTAAGCTCAGCCTCTGTGGGCATTATTGGCGCGTTTGCAGTGGATCTGACCTTAGAGCGTTCCCTCTTTTTTTGCCCTACATATACCAGCGAGCTACAGGGGAGTGCAAGTGACTTCATTGGAGAAGATGACTCAGACCGGCCCTAATATGCTATTATGCTTTCAAAGATTGCCACACTGTAACTTCATTACTTTAGCCAGAGAATGGAGTTAAGACGGACAATCTCTCAATATCACACTAATCAATTACTTTTACAGCAAATTACTACGATCTCCAGCCCTGGGAGCACAGCCAGATATAAATAGCAGATTGACTTCCTTCATGGCTCTTTTACGATATCAATCAGTATTCTGTGCATGCATCCTGCATGTGTTCCTGCATGTGTGAGCGGGGGCTCACGAACACACATGCTCATTCACCCTCAGCTCAGGATGAAACCTGATTCGAGCCCCTTAGCAGCAGCAGCGGCAGCAGCAGCAGCAGCATCATAATACTCATGCAGCAGATGCAGCAGAGTCTAGTTTTTGATGCTGTGGCTTTTCTTGGGTTCAGTATTTCACAGCAGCCCAGTCCAAATGCCCTTGTAGTGCTCTTTACACAACCTCCAAAACTGGAAGATGGATTCACTGTTTCCAAGGGGCCACATGTTACAGTATGTTGTACACAATTAATCAGGTGAAAAAGAAAAATGCCCTCAGGTCGTGTTACCTGCTCATAAATTAAGTAAAAACTGCCGTTGGTTCTACAGATTCTAAAAATCAATGGTTTTTTATTATTATTTTCAAAGGGTATTGTCCAAAGGTGGTGGTAGAAATTCAACCACAAAAAAGAAAAAAATTGATATTGGGTTTCATTTTTTATATATATATTATAGGTCTGGTCAGTCAGCATCAGCTGAAAAAAATATTAAACATCCACCACCTTATGCTTAAACTAAGTAAAATCGTGGGAAAATCAAAGTTATTGTGAAAAAAAAAAACAGTGTCTTGTAAATAGTTGTTTATTCCCAAATATGACTAATGTCACAGAAGAAAGTAATGATCAAAGTTTAGAAAAAAAGATAATTCAGTGCCATATTGAAAAAAAAACCCCACATCGCTTGTAGTTGCTGAGTCACAGCTGAGAGAGAGAATATTTGATCAAAGTCTTTCTTGAAAACACCTGGAAATGAGTTATTGTCAGATCTCATTAAAAATGCCCTGGAGCTGCCCCGCCTATTGTGAGTTGCCCTTTAATTACAACCCACAGTTGCTCCTGTGCAGGGTTGAATCTGCCATAACTGCACCACCTGTCATGCTACTGCCGCAAAGCCCAAAATGAAATATATATGAAACAGTAGAGCAGCAGCAGCAGCAGCAGCAGGCAGATGCATGTGTGAGGTGTGTCCGTCTCCTCCCCTGCTGCCTGTGTCTGCTGTGGTAATCAGTGTCATCACGCTCTCCTGTGTCCTGGTCGTCAGTGTCACTCGTGTCACCTGCTGCCCGGTTGTGTATGTACGTCCCTCCTGCACTTGGTCCTTGATGGGTCAGTGGTCTGTGTCCATGTCCTGTCTTCTTTCCTGCTTTAGTATGGTTCCATAGTGTACCGGTTAGCACACTATGGAGCACACAGAGAGTCTAGGGTTTGATTCCCAGAGGAGCCACATGCTTGGCCCTTGCTGGGGGCATCCTGTTAACAGCATATCTGCTGCTAACACAACAATTTCCCAAATTGGTCAGGACTGAGCCGCCACTAAGTAAAGTAAAAATAAATACATTAAAAAAAAGCCCATCAGCTCTGACGTGTTTGGGCTTTAAATAACAGCACGCTGCTGCGGTCTGTCTGCATCAACTATGTATTTATGTGTAGACACTGGACTGGACTGGACTGGACTGAGCTCTGTCTCAGCTCCAGGCCAGACATCATGGCGTGACAAACGTGTGTTCGTTTTACATTTCCAGCTCTCATGACTGCGCAGGCAGGTGGACGCGCCTGCGTGATTCTTAAAAAAAGAGAGAGAGAGAGACAGGGCTGATTTAGGAGGTGTCTTCACCTTCTGCTTCCTTCACTGGGACACTGAGACACTTCTGTCCCCCATTCTGCCACATGATCCACGCCAGGACAAATCTACTGCAGTGGCTGTGTTGAAAACAGAGAGAGAGAGAGAGAGAGAGAGAGTCGTGGATGGAGACTAAACTGCTGGCATGGCTGCGCACACGCACCAAGAGTGAGAGCTGAGGTGTGTGTGTTTGGGAGAGAGAGAGAGAGAGAGAGAGGGAGAGGTGGTTAGCCGTGCCTGGGTGGGATTCCTCTATTGCGCCTAAGACAGGCGAAGTTGTAGCCAGCAGCTGGCGCTAAAACAGACCGAGGTGAGCGTCGCTCCCAAAAATTCCAGAAGCGGAGAGTTTTCGACCTTGGTGATTTTGGACAGCACTCAGTCTGGGATTGTATCGTCACCGCTCGTCCTGCCGAAGACGAAGAGCTGCTCGAGCTTCGTTTCCTTCATCCTCATCACCGCTCATCATCCTCCACCTGCTCCCCGCATGTTCACAGCAGCGTGTTCCTGCGTTACAGCTCCTCCGGGGAGGACTCGGTTCATCCACGTCCACCCACTGACCGCTCAGGCTGCTGTGATTGTGGATCTAAAGGGTCTTTTCCTCGTCTTCAGAAGCTTCACTGGGGTCGTACTGGGATTTTAAGGTGGGGTTTGTTCCGGAGACTCAAGTGCAGCTGGAAAACAAACCTCCTCCTTCTCACCTTTCTCACATCCTTTCCTCCCTCCCTCCCTTGCCTCCTCCAACCCCTCTCGCCGCTCTCTCGCTCGGTTTCTTGTTGATGACACTTGGGCTGCAGATTGTTGTCGCCTCATCACGTCCCTGTTAGATTTCTCAGCTACAGCTCAGACTAATGGGACCTGGATGTGTTGCGGTTCTTTACGGTTGAATTAGGAACCGACGGAACTCTCGCCGTCAGCAAGAGAGAGCGGAGGTAGAGAGAGAGAGAGAGTAAGGAGCCGCTGTGAATATTTAAACATATGCCCTGGTGGAGGAGCGCGTGGACAGCTGCAATGAGGGGGAAAAGAAGCAGCAGCAGCAGCAGCAGTGAGGCTTCGACATCAGCATCGTTAGTGTCACTTTTGGTAAGTCTCTCTCTCCCAAATCACCCCTCTCCTCCCCCCTTCACACAGATGCACATGCACAAAAGTGTCCCGCAATGACTGTAAAAACTCCTAAATGAAACAAACATAGGGCCTGTGGTTACCATCTGTCAGACCTACATCTATCTATCTATCTATGTATCTTATCTTTTTGTGCTGTGACTCAATGCTCTTGGATCATGTAACCTCTGTCTAAAGCTGGGTTTATTTCTTGTGGAGGCGCTTATTGTCATTTCTTTCAATCCTCTCTTTAAATGCCCCCCTTCCCCAATTCCCTCCTCATCCTGTGCCGTTCAGGAGGCTCTGGTGTCACAGACTGTGGCGCTGCATGTGTGAAATGGCCCGGGTGTGTCTGCGTCAGCACCGTGATGCATGTAGACGCAGTGAAAAAGAGAGTGTAACTGACAGACTCCGGCCTATATTAAGTTACACTAAAACCCCTTCTCTCCATCCCGTCAGAGCAAAGTGACTGATGGATGGGATGATGCGCTCTTCCCAGTCGACACTGAGGATGGTAAACCGTGTTTAACGCTCCGTGAGGGACACCTCGATGAGTAGAGAAAGTAATGCAACATTAACAATGGAAACTGACGTGGAAAAAAAAACACACACACACACGAAGGATGAGAAGTTCACAGGTGTTGGTTTACATCCAGAGTCTGTTCTCAAGATGGAAGTGTTCTGTGAATGAGGATTATAAGGAAGTGGCAATTATATTACCTCACAAAGGCTCCTCTGTCATGGCCCAGTTTGATTGGTGCATCCCAACATCCATTTAAAAAAAAGAATCTGTGTTGTGTTTTTTGGACTGGTTTAGTAAGGTACTCCACCAAACCAAATGTATTTGAGGTACTGATGGTTGTACCAGCTCCTGTTAACAAAGTGGACAAAACGTTAACGTGACTCTTGTTTGTTGTTTGTAGACCTGAGTGTAGATTCTGTTGCACAATCTGGCAACCTTGCAGCTTCTTGTTTGAGGCAGATGGTGCCGCCTTACCACAGTTGACAAGTAATACTCACTGTAAGCAACTTAGGGCTTATTTTTCAGTAAAGTATCAACTTAGAAATCTTGATACTTACATGGGAGAGTGCAGTTACTGATGTTCCTCATGTCTCTGTTGACCAAACAGAACTTTCTAGTTCTAGTCTGGTTTTCAGTGTACATTAGTAGAAGCAGAATGGCAAATTTGTGCATGAGCCGTCCAGAGTGCTTCTGATTGGCTAGTGTCCGTTACCTACATTGGTTAGGTTGATCAGTCACCTTGGACATTCTGGGGGACAATATTGCTCTTCTCTGCTAAAGGAAAGTGATTGGTGGGACTAATGGGTAAATCCACTTATGGACCAAAGAGGGAAACATGGAAAAGCCACATTGAATGAATAGATTGGGGGAGGCTGGACACAGACATTGGGAATTTGATCCAAGGTTGGTCTGCATGCTAGGTTTTCCTTGAACAGAGCACAGGTTGTTGAGCCTACTGATACAGAGTGGGTTCAGATTATAGATAGATACATTGATTGATTGATTGATTATTGATTATAGATAGATACATTGATTGATTGATTATTGACCCCAAAGGGACCATTACCCCTGAGGGGCAATCCTTGCCTTTCACAAATTTAGATCTTTTGAAGGGACCATTACCCCTGAGGGGCAATCATTGCCTTTCACAAATTTAGATCTTTTGAAGGATTTAGCAACATGCTAGATGAAAACCAATGATAATTTGGTTTGCAAAAGCTTAGCGCTGTGCTACCATAGCTCAATGTTGAGAAAACCTGACAATAAGGAACATATGTAGTGAGGCTGTACTGTCTGCTTAACCTGTGGGTAACATAATTACTCTGCCACGTTTCAGGAAACCTTTGGAGACGTATGCCGGCAACAGACATTAGCACTAATTACAGACATTAGCACTGTCACTTTAAAAAATCTCATTTAAATAGAACTGAACATTTGGCCATGTACAACAGAGATCAGACGTGTCATGGATGTCTTCCTGGCACAGAGGTCATGTTTTTTGAAGGAGCGTTATAAGTCGGCATGTTTTAGCATAAAGATGGATTTGTTCGTCTGGAACAATTGTTTGTGAATCCATTTTGACATCACAAATTTCTGGCGACCCTAGACACATGATTGCAGCTGTCACTCAAGATGAGCCAGCTCAGACATTTTAATATGCTGCCTTTTATTTGAACTGAATTTATATTCATGAAAGTGAAAGAATACAGTTGTTTAATATTGTATGTGATGTTTTTAATCAGAATGATTGATCAGTAGAATTGAATCAGTTTAGTTGAATTACTAGACATTTCAGGTGACCCCTGTTTGAATCTCAGGTGACCCCACTTGGGCTTGTGAACCCGATGGTGAAAAACAGTGATCTAGAAGGACTGTTATTGTATTTGCGGCCAGCAGAGCAACGTTCTTGATTCTGGTGTCTTCTAAGGTGCAGGCTGGTAGTTTGGAGAAGTGAGAGAAACCACAGATTTGATAGAGTATAGAACCAAAACAGTGTCAGTTTTATTCTTCACTCAATGAGCAAAGAGACGATGATGAGTTGGGTTGTTTGCACGTTTGTGGCGGTCCACTTGACACGTTTAACCACAGCTGTCTGTTTATTTTCATGCAGGTGGTGCACAATTTTGTTGCTTTGCCCGAAAAGTCTGTTGGCACCTCAGGCCATATTTAGGACGTGGACTGCTTCATGGAAAGTCGTGGAGTAAATCACTGCATCTGGTCCCATTGTGAGTTGCCAGCAACCTGGTCTCTCCTGGTTTGCCACACGCTGTGTTCTTTTCTTCTCACAAAAGGTCCTTTACATTTTTGAACCAAGTCCAACATATAAATGTTTACATATAAATAACAAAAAGTCTGTCTTTTTTTCACCTTGTTTTTATGCAAAAAAGTACATTAGAAACATCTTCATATTTAATGGAATTCAAGCGGGCCTGTTTTGACCCGTGGGCCGTATGTTTGACACCCCGATTTAAACTGTAACTATCAGTATCCTAACATAGATCATCTGGTTTCTTATTGATGTCTGAAACTGTTGTTAGTTTTAGGTAGGTTTTGTTGAATTCTGTTTCCAAGTCATTTTCCTTTTGTCAAAAATTAAAACTCTTGAGCTCTGGACTTTAATGCTACCATGTTGTGAGGTGAAGCAGACGGTAAGTGGTGTCAGGCTGCTGCACAGCATTGTTTATGGCAGTCAGCTGAGCGTGTTTAGAGATGATAAAGAGAGACACACAGAGGCTCTGATGCAGCAATGATAACGATTTTACGGTAGTGGTGACTGAATGGCGGCAATTTATGCATGCATTTGGACATTTTTAGCACCTTCTCATCATTTTCCTCTTACTCAATAATCCCAGGCCTCTACAAAAAATCCAACTCAGCGTTTATAGGAATTCGCTGTACTCCAGCTTTTCTAATTTTGGTGAGCAGGTCCACGGTGTTAGGGCTGTGGGTGTATAACTCTCACAGGACATTGGCAGGAAACAAAAGGAAAAAGCCTTTTATTTTCATGGTCTTACGCCATTTAGTCAGTCAAAGGATGAAAGATGCTAGAAAATTCTGACATAAATATACAAATTATAGAACTGTATAGGACAAAAATTTGCTACCAACATCCACCAAACCAAAAACATTTATTTTTATGAATTGGTAATTTTATATTCTTGAAATAAATGTACTTTAAATATATGTAAATATTTATTTATTTTTATGTAGCGTGTATATTATTAGTGTATATACATATAAATATATTTATATGTAGCTTGATCATGGCTGCAACACAAAAGATGACAAATACCCGTGATACTTTGTTGTTTTATTTATAGTAACTCTTTATTCATTTCATTTTCTCACTCTGTGTCAGCCGTGTTGTTACATCTGTGATTTTCAATGTTGCCTTTGCGAAACAATCGCCGCCAGATGTGTCTATTCAGCTGTTGTCTGAGAACAGTGTGTTGAAATGTAGTGCAGTAGTTCTTTACAGTGGATGACTGGCATCAGATCGCAAAGTGAAATATGGAAGTTATCACTGGTACGTACCAGGGCGTTGATAAGTGAAATATGGAAGTTATCACTGGTATGTACCAGGACTGCTGAATGCTGTCATCAACATCAACAGTCCCTGTTTTAGTCTTGTTTTTGGGACAGTCCCGTCCTCCAGGATGGACTGTACGTGGATGTTTCTCCACAAATACAGATATCCCTAAGTTTGTCTAACAACTTACATTCAATATAAGGTATTTTGGTAAAGTAATAATAATAAAAAAAGTAATAAAGACAACAATCTCAGCTGAGCTAACTACATTTGATACCTTGTGTATTGTGGCGACAAAAAGTTGCTCCTTTGTGGATGAGCATAAATATATTTTAAGATATTAGTTTTCAAGAACATGTAATTTGACTATTTTTTATGCTATTGCTTTTTTAAATGCTTCTAGCAGGGCTCCCTTTAAAGAAGATAAATGGAATTATATTTCAGTAATTCTGAAAGAAAAAAACAAACAAACACTTTAGACTATACAACCAGCATTTTTATGTTGTCCCTAATGTGGGTTTTATTAGGCTGCATGGGTACAGAGAGAGCAATAATGTGAATTGGAAAAACGATGTGGGTAATTCGTGGTTACTAGTGGGTTTTTACCCACATTTGCCTGATTTACGTGGGACACACGTACGACAAGGATTTGAGGACAGCACCCAAAACCTCTGCTTGTTTGAATCATTAACTTCTGTACATACCTGTACATGTTCTTTATATAGGGCAGTGGTTCTCAAACTGTGGTAGGCGCTCTCTGGTGGTACGTGGGGAAAATTCATATTTTCACATTTGGTACAGGTGGTACAAAATATAAAAAGTTTTGAACCACTGCTGTCTCCGGTTTACCACATCCTCGACCAATAGCGTTCGTGGTTACGTCTCGATCTTCCACAAACATATCAAGAAGTTCTTGTTCGCCAACTAGTTCTCGTGCAAGCTCGTCATACGTGGTACTCTTGTGCATTATTAGATTTGCATTTTGATTGGTCCACCCGTGCAGCGATAGAACCCTCTGGTGTGGCACGTGATTGGCTGTCGTCTTTGTGTTCACATCTTTAGGTGCATCAGTGTTGTTGCAGGCTGTTACAACATAGGCTCGCAGCACTCGCTGTAATGTGTCTACTTAATGAAATCAGGCAGGATGGTCATTATCATGCATTATTGTCAAGCCTGTGCTCGGTGCAAGCAGAGAAAGAAGGACTGCGGCAGCGTTTCCTTCATCAGCATGAAGTGCATTGAAAGGAAGTGTGTGCAGATGACAACCTGGCCCAGGTTCCTCTTTCGCTCTCCTTTCTCTTTATGAGCCGCTATATTTGGGATGTGGCTCGAGATTGATGGGGTCTCTCAGACTTGCCACTCTGTTGCATTGTATTACAGCAGCCGCACGTGATGGCAGTGTAATGTGTTAGCATTATGAAATTAGGACCAGTACAGGGTTATCAGTCACTGCAGGGATGAGGGAAATAACAGCCATCTCAATGTATCGACCTGTGTTTCAGACTGTAAAAGACTGAGGGACTGTGTAGGTCTGTTATCCTCCTTCTGCTCTTGACAAAGCATATTAAGAATGCCATTTGTGGTGAGTCATGTCCCTTGGCTTGATTTTTTTTTTGCAATATACACAAAGTTAGGTGTTTGTTTTTGTTTTTTTTTTTAAATATGAAATATAATTTTAAGAGACAGAGTGTGAAGAATGTTGTTGAATTTGTTGTTCTCTGCCCTTTCACATTGAGAGGATTATTTTATCTTCCTGCTGCAGCAAAATAAAAAAATATAAAACAAATCAACTGGGAGAGTTATAAAATACTGAAAGTGTTTATAGGGACATAATGCAGATAAATGAACACTGTTCCTAGAATGGTACAGGCCATTTCCCAGCAGTGCAGTATCAAAGTGACCACAACACTGAGAATCATTAGGCCTTCTGAGCAAAACCTACGGACGAGCAACTTCGTTTTTCATCTCTGCATCCATGGTCTACGTGTCAACTGCAAGACTGCTACACATCAGGAGACAACGGTTGTAATTCTAATTTTTAATAATTATTTTTAAAATTTCTTACCAAGTTTTTCTAAGCTCATAATCTGATTCTCATAGCAAATAATTCTGAAACGTTTCCCACAAACTGCTGGTTTAATAAAGGACTTGGTGACTGGAATAAGATACAAAATGAATATGGGTTCCTGAGAACTCAACAATATGACAAATAAAAGCTTCAATAGGTCGGCATAGCACAACAAAAATATCTTCATTTCTATCGTTTAGAGCTTGTTATCTCGGTGATACTGGTTATGTTGGTTAGGTTTATACCTGTCCTGTGAATTCTAATGTAGTGTTAATTGGCTGATGTACCTGTGTGTGGAGGATCCACGGAGTGAGAGAGTGGGACGATAGAAGAGGTTGAGCATCAGTGTGAGTCACTGCTTTGACGGTGCCTGTGTTTTGGGTGTTTTTTGTTGTATTAGTGAATATAAACCCACCTAAAGTATACTCTTTACTTTGGCTCTTCTTCTTAGTGCAGCAGGTGACATTAGGGACGGCTTGATTAGATACTCTTGATAGGTACCGCTCTAACATTGGTCAAAATTTAGGCTCGAACATCGAGAAAATTGTGGATTTCTTTAATCTGTGAAACCTTAGTTTGCTCAGATTATTTGTGAGAGACAAGCAGACAGAGGGAGACATAAATGTGAGCCTGATTTGAAAAGGTAATTTTGTCCTTGAGTGAAGGGTAAGACCTTAATATTGGTCTGATGGTGCTCCTGTGACCTGTCTAGACTGGCAGGAACTGCTGTTGTTTTCCTATGACCGTGACAGGGCTGTTTTTTTTCTCTTCAGATTACTGGATTTGTGGCCTATGTCCAACTTTAAAAAAAGTCTACAGTCAATGACAGAGCATGACTTTAAAACAATAATTTCCAATTATATTTTGGTTTGTGATTTATGCAATTATTCAATTATAATTAGACAGCAATTTTCTTTTATCAGCAACATGGTAAGTGCCAACTGAATGGCACAGAGGGTTACAGTGGAAAAAAACTGATGTTCCATATTTGTTAGTTTTTAGATATGCCATCACCTACCATACAGAAGGTTCTTGACTTGGTTCTCGAGTTCCGTTCCCACAGCGACTTATATGTATTCACATTACAGATCTATTCAGAGGTCAGGAACCTACACTTAGCTTAGCCAAGGGTAGCAGAGCCATTAGAGTCCAAACCCATGGATTCATGGGAACAGGGTTTTCATGAACACTGGAGAGGATCATTTAAACTGTGGAGGAGAAACATATTTTGCACCAATGGGGACACAGTGTAATCTGTGAACGGTTCCTGTCATTTCACCTGTGTGAATATAATCAGTGACTGTGGCCTCTAGGAAGACATTCAGTCATATATATATTAATGCTGCCCATGTGAACCTTTAACTGTCTCTGCTGACGGTATCGGAGCCGTTGAATGGTCAATCAGATTTTATGGCGGCGCTGTAGGCAACACGGGGGTGATATTAACACAGACGGTGAGTGTTTGTGTACTCACATGTTTCTATTTGTTGCTGTCATTTTAAACAGAACAATCAAAAACCATCTTGAAGCGTACAGTATGACAAACACAGGCTCAGGTTGCGGTTGTGTAGGCCTGAAACGATTTCACGATATTTACATAATACCTTGAAAAGTGTGTTGTAGTTCAGTGAACCTCTTCCTGTGAGTGAGTCAGTTGGCCTTGGTCAAAATGATCTGGTATCCAAATCCCTGAAAAAGATAACAAATACTCCTTTTTTAAAATGTATTATCAAGTGAAGCAAATTTCTTAAATTGTATTAATGTGATTGGATCAAAAGTGTCATATGGTAAACTTTAAATGCCCATGTGACCAAAGTTGAAGGTTTTTCACACGTAGGAGTGATTGACATATTCAATCAAATTTGTCGGTTGTCAAAAAACATTTAGACTGCCAACCGGCAGTGATGGCGTCCAGACCTGTCCATAGTGTACCCTGGTCTTATCAGTGGGTCCTCATGCCCCCCCCCCGCCCCGCCCACATATAGCCCATAAGGTTTCCATGCAACCTAGGACCGATGTGTTTGATGTTCTTTACTGTCAGTGTTTTGTTGTGGTCCATTGTTGGCCAACAGATTACAACGCCTGCTGTTATGAACATCAAGATCGGAGCAACTCGGACGCCATAGGCTAAACATCTCCCCGTCTTCTTCTATGCATCTGACAGTGATGTTGATTTAGATCATGCTTGCCGGAGCTGCATCTAGATATGTTGATCGATATCAGAGCTGCATTTCCCATCTGCTCTCCTAAGAAGGCCAATTAGAAGAGCTACATTCCATGCTCTCGTGCAGCAACTGAAATGCACACAAACATCATCTTCCCCACAATGCCATTAAATAATGCATAAGAACAATATATTATTGTGTAGCACTTATTGCGATGGGTCTTATTAGTCCTTTTTTCCTGCGAACTCACAAGCATTGGGCAAATCAAGAAGCTTTATAATGTACTCTCTGCCGTTCACATTAGCGGGAGATAATGTCTTCAAGATTTGCTGTTGCTGCATATGCCACTGCGATGAGAGATCGTTTTGTCCTCGCGTATTGATTTGTTTTTCAGAGTCGTATGGCTGGCTCTCCATCAGCCTCCAACAGCCGTGTTGGAGACTCCTTTTTAGCTCCATGGATCATAAAAAACCTGAGAGTTAAGAGTAAAGGAAAAGAGGAAGACAAGGAAAGTTGTAGTTTACAGTTTTAAAACGTGGTTGTTTTTATACAAATGTACCGTCAGCATTGACTACACAAGCACAGCAGAGAACAGCGTTTGAACAGGTTTTAGCAGATCAACTGGTTTAATGCTAACTTACGTTTCATATTGGATCTTTGTCTGCGATGGCGGTAGTCTATAAAACTGGTGTTGACTGAAGGCCTTTTGGTACCACATAATTTGATGCCCTTTTTGGATCGAGTAGTAACCTTCAATTTCTCAAAGCTAAACAAACATTGGAGCAGCTTTTCAGTTGAGCACCAGGGGTCACCTCGAAAGACGACACCAACTTCCTGTTTGTGTAGTTTGAATTCTAAAGTAGTCACATAACAGTTACACGTTACCAAACACATTTTTGTTGCAGTCAAATAAAATGTTGAAAGATGGGACGGTGTCCATTGCAGTTTAACTAGTGATGGCCTCTGGACTTGGACTTGGACGTCCTCGCCCTTCTCCTCTGGGTGATACACCTTCATTCCTGCAGTTGTAGATTCATAACTTTTCCGTGTCCTACAAGTAGTTTCTTAGAGGAAATGTTGCATCATTTGTGCTAGTACTTAGTATTGCCTTTACTATGTAGACGTTGACTTATACACTGAGTTATATTGAAGTATGATTATGGGCTTCTGCAGACAAGAGTAAATATAGTTTCTCCTCCTGAAAAGTACACGATCGTCTGTTTTAGTTATATTTCCTCCCAGGTTTTGTTGCGTATGTTACTTGATCTGTTTTTCTAACAAACAAACTGATTTCCTGCAGCAGTCTTTTTTTTCTGTGAAACTGAAGCTGCCCATGTATATCAGATGTATCTCCAGGATGAGGTTCATTTAAGTCAGCAGGACTGGTCAAAACTTTAAATACATTAGAGGCAGTATGTTTGAACTGAAGGTCTGATTTAGGTTTTAATTTTACAATTGTTTCAGTATCAAAAACTAAGAATTCGCAATAATATCAATGTAAATTTCTATACATCGATAATCAAATTCAAAAGATTTATTGACAAATAGATGTAGTACGATTTCACACTCATCAGTCAATGCAGTGACTCCGTTCCCCTGGCACTCCTCACAGGCCTGCGTTGTAGAAGATCCATTAGCATGTTAGCTCAAATCAATATATCCGCAATTTGTTTTACTCAGTTGAAATGTTAAAATTGGGAAATTTTTCTACACAAAAAATTGAATACGCCATTAGAGGTTGTACTGAGGGAGAATTAAGCAGTGGCAGCTGCAGCAGTGGAGGCTAGCACATGAGATAAGAACACAAAACAGAGCTTAGACCAGGGGTCTCAAAATCAATTAGCTGGAGGCCACTGTTACAATCGCCGTTTCACATCAGAACAGAAAAAAAGAAAAAAACGTGCCACAGCTGCTACACAGTTAGTGAAATTCTTGAAATGACAAAAACCAAGGATTTTAGTTCATGTAAAAGAACTACTGGGAAAAAACATACCTCTAGAGCAAAATTGAACATCAAATCATGGGCTGAGACCCTGCCATCCCTGGTCTAGACATTTTTAGTAAAACTGGAGTTGGGAAATTCCAGGATGTTTGCTAGAGACAGTGAAAACACCAGAAGAAATAATAAAATGACAGAGTTTATAGCACTTGGTGACCAACCTCTGTGATTTAGAACCTGAGATCTGTTGTTTTTTAGTTTGAGTCTAACATACATGTCATTATTTTTCTCCTTTCCATTATAGAGATTATGACCATTTCATTGGAGTTCTCACGGTGCCTTCGACTCGGCATACATTAAACCCCGTGGTCCGTGTTTGAAGATGGTTTGTTGGTGGGTGAGAGAAGTTTCTTCACAGCCTGCTGCATAGAGGTCAGTCTGCACACAGTGAACAAGGAAGCGCCTGAGTACACTCAGCTGTGGTGTGAAAGGTTGGGACGTGGGGGGCTTATGAGATACGGTGCTGCTTCACTTCAGTGATATCCAGTACTCAGCATGTTCTTCCTGGGGCAGACTCAGGGCGTGCTCAAGATAGAAGTGTTGTACAAACATGTGTTTCCTATGCAGTGAAAAATGGATGTGAAATGCCTTCGTTATAGACACTGAATATAAAATGTATATCTGCCTATCAAGGAATTACTGCTCCACCAGCAGGGCCATGGTAACCAAATGAAGAACGTGTGCAGAGTAGTCTGTTTATTTGGCCTCACTTTTCTTTAAGTAAGCACTAAACCACATCGATCAGCACGTTATTGCACATACATGAGCAGAAGGTCACTTAAGCAGGGTGGATTTCATGCTGACGCGCAGGGTGAACCGTAGATCAGAAAAATCCATTCCTCAGATCAACATCCACTGGATAACTCTATCCTTGCTTTGCGAAGATGTTCTCTCCATATTAATTACGTTAGCTGCAGCAGATCTGCTGCCACTACATCTGTTTGAGATCTGAGATATTTACGTTAAACGCATACGTGATATTGAATATATCTGAGCTAAAATCCTGGAAATTTTGCAAATCATCTCAGCAACTTCTTAGAATCTTCTAGATTTGTATTAGTGACGCAGAAAAAGAATAAGATTGCCTTCATAAAACGATGGATCATCGGAGGCTCAACTGTAAACATTCTGTCTAATGTTGTCATGTGTTTTAACAAATAATTTTAAAATAGATTTTTCTTAATATTTCAAATCTTAATGTTGATCAAACTATACATTTGACAATTAATTAAACTGCCAGAGCTAATTAATAATTCTTCAGCTAAAGTACGTACGTCCTGCAATTTGTAAAATAATTATTGTCTGACTGTAGGGCGAGTTAAAAGCGAGTTAGCAATTCATTTTTCAAGTCTTGATTATTTCATTTCATTTTATTAAGAAATAAACTGGAAAAAAAGTTTCAATAATGATCCAATATATTATTATTTCCTAAGGCTTTGCCCATGTCCCTTTTTCAGTGCAGTGGTTTATTTTATGAATATGAACAGTCTCTGAAAGCCATAACGACACCGACGTAAAAAATCAAACGTATAAAAAGTATCTGAATATTGTTTGTCAATATTGCCCGTCGATCCTTGTAAATATGTAGATTGGCGTCGGCCTTGTTAAAATCCTGCAGGAAATTCTCATGTTCTGCATGTAGTCAACACTTGACCGCACTGAGTGCAGCATAGATTAGCATAATTTACCTGATTATAGCTATAGCTCGTGTTTGAGGCTCAGTCATGTCACACTTTCAGTCCTTGTACACGTACCCAGTAATCTGTTCATATATCATCTGTACTCAGTGCTCCTGGTCCTGTGACTGACAAAGATTGAAGTGCAGATTTTTTCTGTCTTGATTAGGAAGGAGTTTAAAACTATGGTTTAAAAAAAATATATAAATCAGATGGGTCATTAGGTCTTCAGTACAGACAGGGGAATGTGAGGAGACGCATCATGTGGTGAGACGTACGTATACCAGTTTGGTTCTGGGTCACAATGTATCCATAAAATATGGTCTGTTTTTACCTTTAAGGAAGCAGATGGGTGTATTTTTCTTGTATTGTATATATTTTATATGACTATGACTATAACATTTGGCTCTTTGGATATTTTTTTTGTACTGACCTGCAGATCTGATTTGATGCCTCTTGTCATCTTTCACTGTTAACAACTAAAAAACTGAATGTTAAATAGTGCAGTAACAGTCCAATGGACAGCTGAAGATATTCCGATAGCATCTTTGTGTAAGGTCATTGTATTTTGGGAGACAACCTAATGTAGGGTTGATCTAATGCACGCGGCACTGCTGCCAAATCATGATGTTGCCCCGCCCAGAAACAGGCTATAAAAGAGCCTCAAACTCGTAGCACCTGCACAATAAAACAAATGTGACAGCAAAGTGCCTTTTTACCTTTCATTGCACAGAAATTGCCCTGCTGACTGTGCTAGCACTCAGACCGGCATCTTTTTAGAGTAAAGACGATATTTTATATTGGAGTAAATGATGTGTGACAGCTTTATGTGTCCTACAAAAATTGTAAAGCTGCTCAAGAGAACGGGCTTGTTTGGTTGGCGCACGATATGAACGTATTGCATCGTATATTTGTATTGCAGTGATTTTGAAAGTGGGGGCAAACAGGGGGCGCCAGGGGGCATCTGAAAATTAGAGGAAAGATGAGAAAAATATAAAAAAAATAAGAAGCTATTTTTTTGTGTCACCATTTGTCCTGAACCGTACAGCACCTAAACCGCCGTAATCATCAGATTCTCAACTTTGCGATAAGAAACCTCGTTTAAGAGCTGCATCTTAGTTGCCTAGGCTTTGTGTTCGTGATCTGACTTAACAAACCCTAAAGCCCCAATCAGAGTAAAGTGGTACCGCTGCGGTGGTTATCAACATTATTTGTCAAGTCCAGTTCTTAGCTTTGTGGTCTGTGCGCGTTCCTGTAAAAACGGTACGTTTGATGTCGTTATTCAACTTAAGAGTAAAATGGTGCAATTTTACCCTAAAGGATGATGCTTTGAGGAGCACAAAAAGACCATCACTGCCTAAACAACACTGTCACCGGCAATAAGGGATGGGAGGAGTGTTGGGAGAAAATTGCTGACCTTGTAAATGTGTTAGTTAACAGTGATTAATATTACATCATGCCTTTAGTGATTTAATTTCTGAAGCTCAGCATTACACAACTTCTACTTATTAACCCATATCCTTAAAAAAAGTTCAGTGATTTTTTTTTTCTCCTGTGTCGGATTAAACAGACAAACCTACTGTCTTTGTTTTGAATGTTAGATTTGCATGACTTACGCTTCCCTACGACAGGTAAAACATTGATCCTTTGATCAGTTTATTTATGGCCACATCACAGAGAAATACTGACCTTATTAGTCTCTGACAAATCAGTGAAAGGCAAACAGTCATTTAGATTTTATACTTACACTGATTTTCATGAAATATGAAATGACAAAACAAAGAAACCAATAAAAAGTCTTGGTATGCATTACCTCAGCATACCAGTCTGTCAAAATGCATTGAGAAATGACAACCACGCAAAAATAAGAGTATGCATTGAAAAACATCAGTTACACAACACATTCAAAGGCACAAGGCTGAAATGTGAAACATTACCAAAGGCTTTGGTCGGATTTCATCATCTACTCTTTCATAAGCAAAAAAAAAAAAAAAAATCAATCTGATTTTTAACATTTCTCTCAGGTTTCATTATGTTCAGTGTATAAACTGCAGACTTTGATTTCCAGAATAATTCATGGTGTTGGTATTGATGAGTCACATTGAAAAAACTAAAAAGTACTCTGACTACAGAGAGCTGGTAAATGATGACTGAGCTTGTTTTAGGGCTATTGGTGTTGGTGTTGGGGGTGGTGGTATTGAGCCCCTGTTCTAGATCAGTGATATGGGTTACAGTCAATCTACTAAACTCCTCTACAGACATCGATGGTGGAATGGTAAAAGGCCGTGGACCAATCCATCAACTGCAGGTTCTAACCTCCTGAAAGCTAAAGAAGTTTGTACTTAAATCTAAATTTACTATAAAAACCTTCACATTTTCCCAAAGTTAATGTTACACCTCTGTACGACATCTGAAATGGACATCTCATATTATCTCGTCTCGATATTATCGTTATAAATCTAATCGAATCTTTCAGTCTTGAGGCTGAGGTTTAAATTTTTGTAAAGAAAATTACAAAAATTTAAAGAGACAGAGGGAGGGCACGCTGACATTTCTGCATGTGGAATTGATTACATGAATAATCATTATTCAGAGGAGTTCATCTGTTGCAGGTTGAGATGTGTCTTGTTGGTCTCAGTGGTATCAGTGGTTTGGTCTCAGCTCAAGAAAATATTGGATTTACTTCTAAAACACAGTAAATACCAC